TTTTTTTTGTTTTTTTGGTTTTTGTTTTTTCAGTTCCAGATAAAACCATGGGGCTAGAGCAAAGCTCCTCTGGTCATTTGGTTCCCCAGGCAGCTTCCTCATCTCAGGTCGGATCATGGAGGTGCTGCCATTTAGCCTGTAGCCTTCTCTAGGGGGTATAGGGGTGAGTCCAGGGCAAGTCTGGGCCAGGCCCACACATAGACAGGCAGGGCTGCACCACATGGTCTTCTTGTGAAAGGCCCCTAGGTTCTCCCCGAGGCCTATCCTACAGAGAGCAGACCTGGAACCTCTCAGGGCAGGGTGCCTCCAAAGGAGCCTGAGCCAGGCTGGAGTCAAAGGGCAGACCCAGAACCTTCTGGGCAGCCCTTCCTTGCCTTTCTGCTCCAACAGCTGGATGCTCATTTGCATGCGATTTACATCTCATCCGCATATGTAACCAAGAGCCTTGAAAAGGCAAAGAAATCAACCCAGGATGTTTAAACCAGAAAGGAGAGGCAGGTCTTGTTCTAGCTCAAGATCTTTCTTTAGTAGGAAAGGACACGAAGGCCCGGAACAGGCTAGTGACCACTCACTCCTCCTTTGGTCTGCACCCAGATTTCCCAGCTCACCTCACCATCACTGTCCCCTGTTTGGCCTGCCAGTGGAGCTGTCAGCCCAGACAGGAGAATGTCTGCATGTCTGCTTGGGCCCAGCTACGGGAGGCTGGAGCCCGGTGGGTCCCTACTGGCCCCTGGTTTGGGGCTTGGCCCCGAGTTAGGCTGGGAGGTACAAAGGTGTGAGATCCATTGTCATGGCTCACTGCTTATTTGCCATGCAAATTACCTTGTCTGTAAACTCAACGGACTCTGACTGTGAACTCTGCTGTCGACCCCAGCCCGCCCTCCCCCCATTCCCCATGGGTTTCCTGACACCTGGTTGGGGTGGAAGGAGGGGGTGGGGGAGAGGTGGAGGGCGTGGGAACCAGGCCTTGTTTAAGGATGGTGCTGAGAAGTCATCCAAACCCTTTGTAGGCATTTGCTCCCCGGACGAGGATCCTCAGAGAGGCCAGGAAAGGTAACTAAGGTCAATTAGTTAGTGTTCCACATGAAGGAAGCAGGAGCCCAGGGAATCTGACCAGCGTGTTTTTGCAAGGGCCGCCTTGCCTCATAGAATTGACTTTCATTATCTCTATGTGCCTTTCATCCTTCTGACGGAAGATGATAGTGATGATGATGATGGCAGTAACGGTAATAGTTTCCATGCATCCCGCCCCTCCTAAGGGACAGGCACTGGGTTACGTGCTTTAACACCTTCTCGAGTTTAACCCACGTGACCCCCCTGAGAAGGTGTAAGTATCAGAGGTGAGGTGACCCTCCTTGCCGTGGGTCCTGTAGTTGCTAGGAGGCCAAGTTGGCAACCGGACTCAGGTCTTTGGGACCCCAAATCCTGCGTGCACAGAACCGCTTCTCTCCTTGTCCGTAGGAGAAGCCTGCTTTGCCGCTCCCTGAGAACCCGGCAGGCTTACAAGCCAGGTCCATCTCATCCACAAGAGGGTTACTCAACAGCAGTTACGAACAGCAGTTATTCAACTAGAGGTTTGGGGCTGGGCTCCAGAGTCAGAGTTTTAGGTTCGAATCCCAATTCCGCCACCAGCTCAGAGACGTTGGGAAACGGAGTGGGTCTGGTATCATCACTGACTCTCTTTCATCTGTCATTTTCCCAGAAACACTTGCTACTTTCATTATTTTTTTCAATGCTCTTACTGAGCCGGGAGGTCCCTGGGCATGCCAGTGCAAAGAAACTGTCCTTAAGTCCTAGGGCATGTCAGGGAAGGGGAAAGGTGGAGATGAGAGAGCCTAGCTTCAGAAGTCAGCAGGCTGGGGCGCCTGGGTGGCTCAGTGGGTTAAGCCTCTGCCTTAGGCTCAGGTCATGATCTCAGGGTCCTGGGATCAAGCCCTGTATTGGGCTCTCTGCTCAGCAGAGGGCCTGCTTCCCCCTACCTCTCTGCCTACTTGTGATCTCTCTCTCTGTGTCAAATAAATAAATAAATAAATCTTACAAAAAACAAACAAACAAACAAAAAACAGAATGGCTGACTTAGCCAGCATTTTAAAAAAAAGAAGTCAGCAGCAGCTCTGCCAAGGCTAAGCCGTGTGACCTTGGACGAGTCATCTGGCCTCCCCTCGCTGCGGGTTCTTCATCTACGAACGAGGAATAATAATACTTGTCCTCATAAGGCGCTTATGAGGATTAATGAAAAAACAGAGGTGCTCAATCATTGCTAAGTTTCCCTTTCCCCTCTTTCCTTGTTCTAGAAATCGTGTTCAAGGTCCTAGAACAACTATACAATTTAGGAGACTGTTCTGGGTGCCTGGGTGGCTCGTTCTGTTGAGCATCTGCCTTCAGCCCGTGTCACAATCCCAATCCCAGGCTCCCCAATCCCAAGTTTCTGGATGGAGTCCGCATGGGGCTCCCTGCTCAGCGGGGAGTCTGCTTCTCCCTCTCCCCCTGCCCCTCCCTCCCGCTTGAGCTCACTTGCACTCTCTCTCCCTCAAACAAATAAAACCTTTAAAAAAAAAAATTAGAAGACTGTTCTAAAACGCCATGGTTGCCATCTTTTGCTGGTGGACTGCTCTCAGCAATCATGTAGTCCATCCCCCTGCCTCTGTGCCAGACCCAGCCTCGTCTGATGTCTCTCCACTGTCACGCAAAGGTCAGGGAAACAATTCTCTCCCTGGTCCCTCTCCAGTTTGTGACATTGTTTGGGAAGTTCGCAAGTCTCACCTCGAGTCAGCCTGCAAATGGAATGATGAGGCCAGCATTTGTGTAAGACAAATCAGGGGCCTCTGCACCCGAGCGGGACCCAGGAAGGAGATGTAGGTGGTGTGAGGCCCGCTAACAGGATGGAACAGCGCTGCGTGCCTGGGCGTCTCTGAGGCTCTGGGAGAGGGAAGGGGCATGATGGGGCTGGGTAGCGTGGGGTCGGGGCCGAAGTCTGGGGGGACCGGAATGAAGCCAAGTCCTGGGGTGAAGGATTTCCCAGGCGGGCCCAGAATGAGCACCTGTCAGGATGGCTCCCACGGTCCTACCTGGGAGGTGGGCTCCCAGGGGCCAGGGTGTCATGGCGGGGGCCGCTTGGCCTACCTGCACATAGTTGTCCACGCAGTAGTCTGCGACCCGCAGCAGGGAGCTGTGGTTGCCCCGCAGGGCCTCCCGGCCCGTGGGGATCTCGAACTCCTGTAGCTGCTGCAGCTCCGCCATGGCCCCCCGCCTCTGGCTGCCTCCTCAGGGAGCCCGCCGGTTTTGTGCCTCACCCTGCTCTTGATTGGTCGCTTGGCCTCCCCCCACCCCACCCCACTGCTTTTGGTTTCCTCTCCGTGAGAGACCCAAACCTGCTTGCAAAGGGCAGGCAGGCTCATTCCGGGACAAGAGGAAGTCAGTCTCCGCTCCCTGGGCCCGTGCCTCTCTGACCCCTGCCCAGAGGAAGGGGGAAGCCAGGGGCCCCTCTGGGGGCCCGGCCCCCCAATCCCTTCCCAGCAGAGGAAGTCAAGGTCGGGGCGCTGTGATTGCTCCCTGGGCCTGGAGAGGAAACTGTTTGGTGGGGCGGGAGCCCGGGGGGGGGCAGGGGATGGGTTGGGAGACTGAGGAGGAAGGGGGCTGGCCTGCTTGGGATGGGAGGGGGAGGTGGATTTTCCACTCATGGAAGGGGAGGAAAGGGCAGAGGGTGGGGGCTTCCTTGGGAAGCTCAGGGATGAGTCACCCAGGGCCCGGGGAGTGGAGGGTGGATAGGATATGGAGACCAGGGGCTCTGGGGACTGGAGGGTGGCCCAGCAACAATGGAAACCAGCCAATGCAGCCGCAAGAGGAATCGGCTCAGACACCAGGAAGACACATCCAGAGGTCCCCTGAGAAGTGTTAGCAAACCTCCAAGGGGCTGTGCGTGGAGAAGCCCCGGTGCGCATGCTCTGTCCTGATGGAGGTAAGCCCAGCCAGAGCGTGGGGGTTTCGGATTAGACAACAGGAAGGAATTGGCTTTGAGAAGCACCAGGTTCAAGTTCCAGGTTAACTGGCCGGTCTTAGGAAACAGCAGCGGACAGAGCACCAAGCTGGCCTCTAGAGGTCTGAGCTCTCCTATCCTGCCTTTACAGGACAGCTGGACTAGGACCCTCCAGGCTCTTCAATTCTTAGTGCTTCCAGTTGTGAGTGGGACTTGGACCCTGGAGTGGGGGAGTCAGGGTGGGCTCCAGGCCTCCTCCTAGCCTCTTCCAGAGCCCCTCCTGTGAACCTAGAGACAGGACAAAAAGAGGATCCCTTACCAACCGTATTGATCTCTTAGGCATCTGCTTCTAGGGACGTCCCCTTGCCATGGGGCAGCTGTCAGCCTGAGCAGGAACTCAGTGTCTATTAAACAGCAGAGCCCGTGGATGGTGCTGGAAGGAGATGGACAGAGATATGAGGATACGGGCCCTGTGTTAGGTGATTGGTGAGGGCAAGGCTCAGAAGGAGACGTTGACGCCAAGAAGCATGGACACAGCCATTGGAGGTGGCCATGGCCCCAAGGGTTGACAGGCCCAGCATCCTAAGTGAGGAGTCCATTTTTATTGAATAAAGATTGAACTAGGAGAAGCTTGGAAGGTGTAATCACGGGGTTTCAGTGGGAGATACCAAGGCTTCTTGGTTGAGGGAAGTTAGGAGCTGGTCTAGGACTTGCTTCACGGAGAACGGTCTCAGCGCAGGCTCAGAGGTAGCAGAGGGGAGGGCTTGGGAGACAAGGCACGGGGAGGGGAGCGTGTCAGGTTGAGGGTGAGAACTGGCTAGAAGCCAGAGGGGTCTCAAAAGGAGCGAGCCAGGTGTAGGGGGCAGGGTATCTGCTCCAGTGGCAGTGGGGACTTGGAGGCTCAGGCCAGCGGATGGGCTTAGAACCTTGAGCCCATGATCAGCTTAGGCATCAGAGATTTTGGCTTTTAAACCATCTGCTTTATCTGAAGACTTTCAGAAGCTGAGGAGCTGGGAAGCTCAGACATCATCTTGCCTGAGTCGGGGACCAGTGACTTGAAGTGCAAACTCTTTCTTGGCAGGTGAGAGGGGCTGAGGTTGCACTGGGTTGGGATTTAGTCTCAGAATTATTAAAATCGGGCAGCCGGCAGGCCTTCCAGATAACCTTGTCCTCATGATGATGATGATAATAACTGTAACAATAAAAATAATATTATTATTATTCATTATGTGCCATACAGAGGGTTAAAGTATTTTATATGCATGATTTTCTTAGGACTCACAAAAATCACACAAAGTAGGTACTGTTATTATACCCATTTTACAGACAAAGACACTAAGACTCAAGGAGGCTGAGTGACTTGCCTAAGCCTCACAGCTTGGAAGGGGCCAGAACCAGGATCAGAAGTGGAATCTGACGGCTCCAGAGCCTTTCTCTTAACCACTAGGGTACACTCTCCCTTGACAGGATCTGCTGTTTCCTGAAAACTTCTACATGTGCCATTATGTGGAACAATAACCTGGCTTCCCGAATCTTATTCACTGAAAGAGACTTCTTTTCTCTTTCTTCTCCACACTGATTCCTGTTTCATCCCTAGACAGAGACTACTCCGAGGGCAGAGTCTGTGCCTCCCCCATCAGACTGGGGGCATCCTCTCCTCCAGAGCCGGGTCTCATGGTGGTGTGAAGTGAGGGGCTGCGCAGGGAAGTGGGTGGAAGCTGAGGTGTGGAGTGTGCGGGAGGGAGCCCAGGGGAGCCCAGGGCATTTGCCATCCCAGATGCGGGATCCTTTCCAGAAGCAGGTCTCTCTGGAGCCGGATGGCCCAGGAGCTCAGCGAGAAGGAGCTCCTGAAGATGGAGGTAGAACAGCTGAGGAAGGAAGTCAAGAACCCAAGGAGTCTGGTGAGCCTCCTCTTCCCTTCCCTGCCCCTGTTCTCCATCACATCGGGGTCCTCACAGAGCTGGAGCCCCAAGGGGGAGGGAGGCTGCTGGAGAGAGCAGCACAAGTGGCAGGAGAGGGAGGTTTGCCTCTGGGCCAGGGGAGGCCGCAGAGGGAGGCTGGGGTTGAGCCCCGCGGGGGTGCCAGGAGCGAGCCCCACAGTGTGCCCAGCCCAGCGCCCCTTGGAGGTGAGACCTCATCCCCCACCCACCGCCTGCCTCTCTCTCTCCTCTCCAGCCTCCGTCCTCACCCAGTCCAGGACCTGTTTTCTTGCACCGAGCAAATCATGGATGCCCACAGATGAACTAGGGCTGGAACCTTTGTTTTCTCACAGATTTCCAAGACGGGAAAGGAAATCAAGGATTACGTGGAGGCTGAAGCAGGAAACGACCCTCTCCTCAAAGGCATCCCTGAGGACAAGAATCCCTTCAAGGAGAAAGGTGGCTGCACCCTAAGCTGAGGCCCCTGGAGGCCGCTCCACCCCGACCGTCTGTCCCTGCTCAACCCCGCTCTTCCCCAGGAACCCAGGGTCCCAGGGGTGGGGGGACACTCTCCACCCTCTCTCGGCCACAGCAGGAGGAGACCCCCAGCCCATGCACTGGGGAGCCTTGCCCCACTCCTGCCCTTAGCTCTCCACCCCCACACCTGGGTCACTGCGGGCTCCCCTTGGAGGCTCTCGAGGACAGCTACTCTGGCTCAGCAGTCGTGGCACATTCCATGGTGGGGTGCGAAGAGCCCGCCACGCCCTGGGACCCCAGACAGCATCCTTAGAGACGCTGACCCCTCCCTATAGTCCTCCCGTCTTTCCCGCCACTCTCTTCCTAGGAACCAGCATTCCTATTCATAGTCGTTTGGTGGAGGGCCAGAGTCGGGGGGCCCTTCTTCCCCATCTTATGTCTAACCCTGTGGTCTTCTTCCTAGTCACTTAGATCGCCCCAGAGGGCCTGAGGACAAAAAGAGTTTGTGACGTCATGAGGTCACAAATGTTTTAATGTTTTATTTAATGTTGTGGGGTGTCTGTTCCGTGCTGGGCACTGGGGAGGGCAGAGTAGCAGTGCTGACACGGCGGGAACAGAGTTGGCAGTGAGGTCAGTAAGCGCTTCTGTGCAGAAAGGACCATCAGTGGCGTGGGCCACACGGCAGACAGACACCCAGGGCCATGGGCAAGGTCCGAGGGAACTGTTGCAGGCCAGCGGGCCGTGGGGAGGAACGGGGCACACAGAGGCCCAAGAGGGAGATGCGCGAAGCCTTAAAGGACCCCCGTGAACTCAGTTAAGAACTGAGTTCTCCACCTGCTGCGACAGGCATGAAGCGGCCAAGGGACAGGATTTGATGAGCAGGAGGGAGGCTGGCTCCTGGCTAAGGAGGACACGGATTCCTGGGCCTTGTCAGCAAGGAGATTATAGTCTTATGGAACCACAGAAGTGATGAGGACGCAGAAGGCAAGGGCAAGCTGAGAACAGGGCATAAGCTGACACCCCGTAACCCCGCACCGCCCTCCCCCAGGTGGGATCTGTGTGACATTCCCGCTGCCCTAAAGCAAAGGAAAGGAAAAACAAATAGTTACCTTCTTAGGGATCACAGCCCTGCAAGATAGGAGTCTCCCTTGGTTTACAAATATCTTAGCGATTTACCAGTGGTTAAAAAAAAAAAAAAAAAAAAAAAAGCATTCTTACCAAAAACCTAACTTCCAGAAGGAAACTCCAACTGTCTTACTGTCAATGCTTTCCTAGAGGGAAAAACAACATTTACCTGACAATGGCAAGGCCTCCCATATCTTGTAGGTCCTCTCTAGCACACAAAAATTCTTTTGAAAACCTTGTTTTTTCCTTACCCCCAGTTCCCAAGTCCCGCCACCCCTCACAACCCTGGGCCAGAAGCTCTTTCTGCCCACGGGCCCTGTCCCCGTGCTTTAATAAAACCACCATTTTGCACCAAAGACGTCTCAAGATTTCTTTCTTGGTCGTTGGCTCCGGACCTCAGCCCACCAAACCTCACCTACATTCAAAAACCAAGTCAGAAGGACTCACATGATACAATGCTTTCAGGGCAAAGACTGGGGGGGGAGAGGAGGGCGACCAACCAGATGGGTGAGTTGCATCCTGGGAGGGAGAACCAGTAAAAGCCTCTAGAAGGAGGTGATATCCAGAGCCAAATCCTAAACACTGAAGTTGTAAATGGATGGATGTGTGGCAAATCTGGTTAAAGTGGTCATATCAACAGAGGTATAGATAGGAGGAGGGAAAGATGTAGGAACCAGGGTTTGAAATCAAACACCAACCAGGTTAGAGTGGACTGTCCAGGGAGAGACCTAGATCTTTGGAGGGCCAGATCTAGATCCTTGCTAGAGAAGGTGGGGTTGGAGTTAAGCACAGGGGTCTTCTGTCATCCCCCTTCATCTGCTAGGAGTCAGTTGGCAATGTTTGCATTCTAGAAGGAAACTGGCTTTTGAGGAGATTAAAAGGAGAAAGAATGGAGGCAGAGAGACAATTAAGGAGATGATCATTAGCTTGGGGGAGGCCGTCTTAAGTCTGGATCAGAAGATGGGGTGAGGAGTTCTTTGGGAAATGAAGTTTTCAGATGTTGACATCTCACTGAGTAATGGGTGAGGGAGAGGGGAGTTGTCAGGGATGATGAGCTTCTGGCTTGGGAGATGATTAGATAGATGGCAAGTGTGTGAAACTAAACATAATACTGTGATCCCCCTAGAGCGGCAAACTCGCCCAGCTCAGCAGGCCCCAGCCCAAGGGCATGCCCTGGGCCTGCTGGGGAGGTCATGGGCCACTGGTCAGAATCCAGGCTCTCCGGGGAAGTGTCCGCTCCTTTCCCAACTCCCTCCCAAAAATTCCATCCTGACCCTCAACTCACCTTTCTGCAACCTCAAATAGGTTCAGCCAATTTCATTATACTTGAGAGGGAAAAGAAGAGGAATGAGAAAGAGAAGATTTAAATACAGTAATTCTTTTTTTTTTTTTTTTTTTTAAAGATGGAAGGGTGGGGCACCTGGGTGGCTCAGTCGCTTAGTCGCTTAAGTTTCTGCTTTCAGTTCAGGTCCTGATCTCAGGGTCTTGGAATCAAGCCCTCATCTGGCTCCCTGCTCAGCAAGGAGTCTGTCTCTCCCTCCCCGCCTGCTGCTTCTCCCCCTGCTTGTGCTCTCTGTCAAATAAATAAATAAAACCTTTGAAAAATAAAATAGTAAACATTCCATATGGCTCTAGCTGTAAGAAAGGAAAACCAGGGGATGCCTGGGTGGCTCAGTGGGTTAAGCGTCTGCCTTAGCGGCTCAGGTCATGATCCTAGGATCCTGGGATCAAGTCCTGCATGGGGCTCCTTACCCAGCCAGGAACTGCCACTGCCGCTTTCCCTGCTTGTCCTCGTGCACTCTTTCTCTCTCTCTCTCTCACAAATAATAAAAATCTTAAAAAAAAAAAAAAAAGGAAAAGCAGGTGTGGGCTACAGGCCACAAGACTACCGCTTCCTTCCTCCTCCCACCTACCAGTCCTTGTTCTGCTCCCTCCAGGTGGTATCGCACTGTTGGGACCCCTTGACCCTGTGGGGACACCATTATTCCTGAGGGGTCTGAACCCTGGATGGGGCTCTGCTTACAGGAACAGCTTCTGCTTGCCTTTTCTCAGTGCACGGTGCCCAGAGATGCTCTGGGCGTTCTGTTGGCTCCTCCCATACCCTTTCCGTCCACCCCAAAGTGGGTAACAGTCGCAGGACCCCTAAGCCCCAAAGTCAGTCATCAGCCCAACACCCTGAACCCCTCTTCTGTTTCGCTCGTGCCCAAAGGAGCCTCAAATGGCTGAAGGCAACCTGAGCTTCTGCCCCAGAGGAATTATCATGGCCCCAGGGGGCCACATTCCCTCCCTGGGTGCCCAGCCCTGTGCAGGAGCCAATTCAGCGGCCCCAGTTATGATGCTGAGAGCAGGTCCCAGGTGTCATCTAAGCCGCCCGGCCCCACCCCTGTTCCAGAGATCCGGGGGGTTCATACCTGACAAAGAGAAGCACCATGTGTTGTTCGTGTTTCGCTATGGAGCACGGAGCACGCAGCAGCTTCACTTGGACAACAGCCCCTCATCTTTGCAAAGTGTTTCCTAGTCGGCACCCCACTGGGGCTTGGCCGGGCCAGTCCTTCGTCAGCGGCTCCCAGATGATGGACTCATGGTGAGGTCAGCAAATCCCATCAGCACTGACCTCTTGCCTTAGATCTACAGAGAAGTTGCAAAGCTAGGACAGGGGGTTCCCGTATCCCTCTCACCCAGCTTCCCCCGATGTTAATGTTTCATAAAACCACATCCTTGTAGTAAGGCGAGGAAATTAACATTGGGCTGATACCAGGAACTCAAGTCCAGACTGCAACTTGGATTTCCCTCATGTTTTCACTAGGCATCATTGTTCTGTTCTAGGACCCACATTCCACTTAGTGTCTTACTTATTTTTCAGGGAGGGCTTCTTTTTTAAAAAAAGATTTTGTTTGGGCGCCTGGGTGGATCAGTCGGTTAAGCATCTGCCTTCAGCTCAGGTCATGATCCTGCGGTCCTGGGATCGAGCCCCACATCGAGCTCCCTGCTCAGCCGGGAGCCTGCTTCTCCCTCTCCTTCTGCTTGCCGCTCCCCTTGCTTGTGTCTCTGTCTGTCTCTGTCAAATAAATAAATTAAATTTAAAAAATAATAAATACATAAAGTCTTAAAAAATTAAAAAATAAATATATAAAATCTTAAAAAAAAAGATTTTATTTCTTTGAGAGAGAACAAGAAGGGGGAGGGGCAGAGAGACAAGCTGAGTGGGGAGTCCCGCACTCAGAGGGGAGCCCCACGCTCAGCAGGGACCACCACACAGGGCCCAATCCCAGGACCCTGAGATCGTGACCCATGACCTAAGCCAAAGTAAGACGCTCAACTGACTGAGCCACCCAGGTGTCCCCAGGGAAGGGCTTCTATGTGGAGTTAGTACGTCTAGGACACCATGGCCACCTAGAAGACATTTCGTAAGTCCATAGACAGTAGCACTGACAGAAACATGACAAGGAATACAAATCTGAATCCTGAGGAAATCCCTACTCCAGTGACTCTGTCCCCTCTATTGATCTGCCACCAGAGAACTGGCTGGTTGTCCTTGAGGTCTGGATTGCATGAGGGGCTCAGGGTTGTCACATCACCGGCTCACTGACAGGCGTGTCAAGAAAGCCCTGACTGTCCCGCTTGTGCAGAACCTGTCTCCGCCTCTCTGCTGCTTTGTTTCATGACTGCCAGTCAGCCCAGGGGTCCCCTTGTCCAGGTTTTATCAAGAACTTTTGCTGGGGCGCCTGAGTGGCTCAGTGGGTTAAAGCCTCTGCCTTCAGCTCGGGTTATGATCCCAGAGTCCTGGGATCGAGCCCCGCATGGGGCTCTCTGCTCAGCAGGGACCCTGCTTCCCCCTCTCTCTCTCTCTGCCTGCCTCTCTGCCTACTTGTGATCTCTGTCTGTCAAATAAATAAATAAATCTTTAAGAAAAAAAAAAAAAAAAGAACTTCTTCTGCAGGGGCAGCCTTCTGGTAAACCTGTTCATGACACTTGAATGTTTTCAGTCTCTGAACTCACCCTAAGGGGACCAGCCACATAGCTCTCCCCAGATGTCCTTGTCTCTTCCAGTCCTTCGGTTGGCCTCTAAGACCTTGATCATCTGACCAGAAGCTGAATTGCTTTCCAGGATCAGAGAGGAAGGAATTCCCTTCCCTGCTGACTTTTAGGTCACCCTGAGAAGGGCAGTTCCCAGAGAAAGGGGAATCACCGGGATGCAGACATTCAGACGTGATCAGGGCCTGAGTTGGGGAAGTGGAGTCAGGATGGAGAGGAGGTGATGAGTTGGAGAGATAATTAAGAGGTAACATTTTCAGGGCTTAGAGATTGCTTGAATGTTGGCAGGATGGGAAGGAAATATCACACATGACTTCAAGTTTCTGTCTGGGATGACTGAGGGAATGGTGGTGTCACTCATCCGAAGGCCTTTCTCACCAGATGATTCTCCGTGATTTCCCCTTGGCTTCTCCTCCCTCCCCTTTTGCCCTGCTGAAACCACTGGAGGTGACATCTGGTAATACGGAAGGAGGTGAGTCCGAGAAGGATGACCGACCGTGTGGGGCAGCATGCGGAGAGCCCAGCAGTGGAGCTTGGAGAACAATCAGGGACTCAGGATTAAGTGGAGAAGGATGGGCCATGGAAAGGAACAAGTAGGGAGGGTCATGGTGTGAGGAGGCTAAGCAGAGACCGGGCCATCGAAATTCTAATGATTCTGAGCGATAAAGTGATGCTAAGTCAGGAAAAGGACTCTTGATTTCCCAGTCAACTAACAAACAGCTGAATCGTTTTTAAATTCTGTCACCTTCCTTCCATGCTCCATATTCACCAGAGTCCCTGGGTGGGATCCCCGGGCCTCAGAAGGAAAGGAGGGGAAGAAGGGAACCGCTGTCTGGTTAATTCAGGGCTCAGCACCTAGGGCTCGGGGCTGGCCACAGCTAGAAATCCTTCTTAGTGGATCAGGCAGCCCAGCACCCCCAACCCTCCATCCCCCCACCCCCACCCCCGTCTTCCGTGTGTTATCCTTGCACCTGGAGGAGTTGGGGGTGGGGAGGGGAATAGGCTGCTTAGGATCTTGGTGCTTTAGGCAGAGGATATTACCCAACCCTGATCTCAGGGCCTCTAGGAAAATCAGTCCAAGCCCCCCACTGGCCTGCCCCTACTCCAATTCCCTACCTGAGCTTGGGGCCTGGGAACAAGACCAGTTTTTATGGGTGCTTTCAACCTGTGCTGTCCCATAGGGCCTCCTACTGAGAAGGGCCCCGTGCTTGGTGTAACACTTTCCTTGAAAAATTTTTTTAAGATTTTATTTATTCTTTTTTAAAAATGTTTTATTTATAAGATTTTATTTTATTCTTAATTTTTTAAAAAGATTTTATTCATTTGAGAGAGAGAGAGAGAATGGGGCAAGAGCGGTGTGGGGAGAGGCAGAGAGAGAGGGAGAAGCAGACTCCCCGCTGAGCAGGGAGCCTGATGCTGGGCTCAATCCCAGGACCCGGAGATCATAACCTGAGCCGAAGGCAGAGGCTTAACCACTGAGCCGCCCAGGTGTGCACTTTGCTTGAAATTCTGAATGATTTTTGAACAGGAGCCCCACCTTCTCAGTTTGCTCGGGGTCCCCCATATTCCATATCTGGTCCTGTGTAGGGAGGCAGAGGCTCCAGCCTGATGGAGGAGGCAGGATGCTTACTGAGGAGCAGAGTTCAAGGCGAGGTTCAAAATAACACCCTGATCACCTATTTCCCTGCCCTCCTCCCTGATCTCTGAGGATTAGAAGAGGAGGTGGGGGAGGCAACTCTGAAGTGGTTTCTCAACATGCCCTTGGCCCCTCTGTCTTCCGAGTCCCTAGTGTGTCCCCCGTACTCCCCCGCCTACTGCTTTTCATCTTACACACTACTTTATTATTATTAAACCATTAACAGACAAGACCTACAGATTTATTTCTTCTTGGACACACCTACCACGCAGACCCTACTTTTTTTTAAAAAATTTTTTAAAGATTTCATTCATTCATTTGACAGAGAGAGAGATCACAAGTAGGCAGGCAGAGAGACTGGGGGAAGCAGGCTTCCCGCTGAGCAGAGAGCCAGATGTGGGGCTCGATCCCAGGTCCCTGAGACCATAACCGGAGCTGAAGGCAGAGGTTTAATCCACTGAGACACCCAGGTGCCCCTACACCCTACTTTAGTCCTCATTTTATCAGCCCAGATTTCAAGCACCCTGAAGGCTGAAGTCGAGTCTTTGATTTTTGTATTTCTGGCACCTTGAGCACAGGTGCATGTTAAATGACTGTGTGTGTCCCATAATTTATAGACTTTGTATGTGTCTGGCATTGTGATAAGTGTTGTATACACATTATCTCAGGCACCAACGAATAGACAAAGAAGATAATAAACCGACAACTCTGGGAATCAAGCATGAGGGAGAGAGAGGCCAGGCGAGGCACAGACCTGGCTTCCCTGGTGGCTTGGCCCTCTGCCCTCTCCTGGTGACTCTGGTCAATGACAACATAGGACAGACACTACCTTCTGGAAACTGCTGCCTTTGGGCGAACCCTTCTGAGAATAAAGGCCTTGGGAGGCTGTTGGAGGAGAGAGAGGTTCTTTCCTGAGCTAGGAGGGATAGAAAGAGATAGAAATGTGGAGAGGCTCTCAGAGAATCTGGACCTAGGAGGGGAAGGACGGAGTGGGCTGAGGTGGGAGTGGCAAGTTTGTAAATGTTTTCCTAACTGTGGGTTAAGAGACAAGAATTATGAAATCAATGTAGTGATTTTACTGAAGTTAGTGAGTTATGAAATCTATTTAGTAGATCGGGACCAAGCTTTAGAAATCGTCCCACACCTCTCGGTGACAATGACCTTCGAGCACCCCCAGAAGACTTCCAAGCATGAGATGATCAGAATTCCTCAGCCTGTTCTGTGAATGGACAGCAGGAATTGTTAGAAAGTTCTTCCTACTGCTGCTCTAACTTCCACCCACAGGTTCTCATTCCCTGCCTCTGTTGCTACCCTTCAAGATTTGTTTTCCTCCCCCACAAAAGCAGGTGTTTCTTTTCTCAGGAGCCTCAGCTTCTGTAGTCCTCACTATTCTGATTCTTTCTAGCAGTTACCATTATAGAGCCTATCTTGGCTCAGGTGCAGAGAAGACAACTTTTGCTTACGATTTTACTAGTTCCTGCCCCCACTGCTATGCAAAAGGCACCGCTGTTTCCCTTTTCCTTTACAAATGAGGCTCCTAATATTTCTTCCCAGATTTACTGGGATGTAATTGACATGTACGATCATATAAGTTTAAGGTGTACAAGAAAGTGATGTGTTTTACATGTGAATTGTGAAATGATTACCACAATAAGTTTAGTTAACCTTTCCATCACCACATAGTTACGATTTCAGAACATCCGAATTGCTTACCCAAATGCACCCAGACAGCTAGTGACGGGGTGATATTCATCAGTGTTCTCCTGCAATGCCCAGGATTGAACCTGATCCTTAGAATGCCCTTGGGCTGGCTCAGGGTAGAGGATCTCTATCCTGACTCCCCAGTCTATGGACAAACTTTTTTTTTTTTTTAAGATTTTATTTATTTATTTGACAGACAGAGATCACAAGTAGGCAGAGAGGCAGGCAGAGAGAGACGGAGAAGCAGGCTCCCCGCCAAGCAGACAGCCCGATGCGGGGCTCGATCCCAGGACTCTGGGATCATGACCCGAGCCGAAGGCAGAGGCTTTAACCCACTGAGGCACCCAGGCGCCCCACCATAATGTGCATTTTAACAACTTTTTGTCGTGAATAAGCTACGTAACCTCCACCCAGGACAAGAAATAAAATAATACCAGTACCAGGTATCTGGCTGGCTCTGTCAAGAGAGCACATGACTCTTACTCTTGGGATCCTGAGTTCAAGCCCTGCACTGGGCATAGAGATTACTTTAAAAAATAATAATAATACCACTACCCCCAGAAGACTGTTGTTGACCCTTTTCCAGTCATGGCCCTCTCTCTTCTCCAGAGATACTGGATATCCTCACTCACATGGGAATTTTTGCTTTGCCTGATAGTTGTACCGTCTAAGTTTACAGTTCTAAACAATATACAGTAGTTATTTTTGCCTGTTTAGCAATTTTATATAAATGGAGTCATATATTATTTACTCCTTTGTATCTGCCTTCTTTTGCTCAATACTTTTTTAAAAAGAAGACTCATCCATTTTGTTGCTGTATAATATACTTTCGTATGGCCTTACAATAAATTATTTATCCATTCTACTGCTGGACATTTGAACTCTTTCCCATTTTTGGCTATCGTGTTGCCAAAACCACTCTTATACATGCCCACCTTTCTGCGGATATAGGTACAAGACTGAAATTGCTAGATTATAGGGTATGAGTATCTTCAGTTTCAATAGTTAACATCAAATTAGTTTCTCCAGTTTACATTCCCGTCAGAGTTCACGTTATTCTCTACTCTTAAAAGGAGTCAGCTTTGTCATTCGCGAGTGTATAGTGGTATTTCATTGAGATTTTAATTTGCATTTTGATATGATTAATGATGCTTTACATCTTTTCAAATGTATATCAATTATTTTTTAAAAGGTTTTATTATTTATTTATTTATTTATTTATTTGACAGAGAGAGAGAGAGCACATGGTGGGGAGGGGCAGAGAGAAACTCAAGCAGGAATGCCCCCCCACTCTCTGCTGAGCACAGAGCCCTATAGGAGGTTCCATCTCAAAACCCTGAGATCCTTATGGACATTGGGGAGGGTATGTGCTATGATGAGTGCTGTGAAGTATGTAAACCTGGAGATTCACAGACCTGTACCCCTGGGGCTAATAATGCATTATATGTTTATAAAAAAATTTAAAAATTATTTTAAAAAAGGGGGGCACCTGGGTGGCTCAGTGGGTTAAAGCTTCTCCCTTTGGCTCGGGTCATGACCCCAGGGTCCTGGGATCGAGCCCTGTGTTGGGCTCTCTGCTCAGTGCGGAGCCTGCTTCCCTTCTTCTCTCTCTGCCTGCCTCTCTGCCTACTTGTGATCTCTCTCTGTCAAATAAATAAATAAAATCTTTTAAAAAAAAAAAACCCAAAAAACAAAACAAAAAAACCCCTGAGATCACCAACTGAGCCAAAACAAAGATCCTGAGCCTTAACCCACTAAGCCACCCAGGTGATCCTTAAGACTTTACTTTTAAGTAATCTCTACACCAAACTTGGGACTTGGACTCACAACCTCAAGGTCAAGAGTTGCATGCTCTATCCACTGAGCCAAACCAGGTGACCCTATGTCAGTTATTTGGGATTTCCTTTTTTCGTGCAGTGCCAGTTCAAGTATTTGCTATTTTTCTAGTAGGTTGTCTTTATTCTTACTGATTTTTTAAAAATTTTAATTTTATATTTTTACTGATTATTACAAGTTCTTTGGCGGTCATGCATTACAAATATCTTTTCTTATTTTGAGGCTTGCCTTTTCACTTTCTTACTGGGTTTTTTTGATATGAAGAACAGAGTATCATATTAATATAGTGACGGAGACTAAGCTTTTAGAACAGAGTATCATATTAATATAGTGACGGAGACTAAGCTTTTAGAACTTTTTGCATCTTGTTTAAGAGGACTTCCCCTACCCTGAGGTCATAGATATTCTCTTATGTTCTCTTCCAAAAGCTTTATTGCTTTTCCCTTCCTGTTAAGGTCTATGATTCACATGGAATGTATTTCTGTCTTTAGTGTAAATTGGGAGGAATCTGATATCATACTTTTCCATTTGGACTCCCAATTCTCCCAGAATAATTTTTTGAAAAGTAGATTCTTTCCCCTCCTGCTCTGCTGTGCTACTTTGTCCTGAATCATTTGTCCAAATACGTGTGGGGCTGTATCCGGCCCACCCCCTTATGTGCCATTGGCATGTTTGTCTCTCCTGCACCAGGACCACACTATCTTAATTGCTATAGTTTATAGCTGATAATAACCTTTAATGTCTGGTAGAGCAAGCCCTCCCACCTCTCATGCCTACGTATTTTCGAGGCTGGGATCTTTCATACACACAAATCCATTCAAACGTATTTGCAGTGTATGAGGGCGGAGGGGTGGGGAGAAGGAGTGCTCAGGAGAAAGAGGAACGAGCATCCTGTTTCCATGGCATCCTCCCAAGGGGCGGGCACGTAGAGCCACAGTGCCAATCACCCTGTGTGGAGATCACAAATGCGTCAATGGGCTCCCTCGTCACTCATCCCAGTGGGCCAGACAGCTCTCAAAAAACCCAGATACAACTCAAAAGAAGACAGCACTCCAGGCGCGCCTCTTCCCCTCCATCCCAGAGACTCACCCTTGCCTGCAAATCAGGAGCGGCTGGCCAGCACCTAAAACACCAGTCCTGGACAGATTCTCCAGGAGACGTGCTCAGCCCTGTGGTGAACCCCATAGAGATTCCTACCCTCTAAAGGATCAACACCCCATCCACCGGGTGAGAAACCGCGTGCGGAGATCCCCTGACCGGCTGGCATGGCCTTAAGAATCCACATGGACAACTTCACTGCCTACTGCCTGAATCAGACCCACTTCACCATCTGACCGCCTAGACTCACAGACGGACTGGCCCCAAACACACTCTCCTCTCCCCAAACACACTGCCCTCTCCCCAGCCTCCTACTGTTTCCCGCGCCCTTTGGCTCCGCCCAGCATTTCATTCCCGGTTGATAAAGGAATAACTGATCGCACTCTGCACATCAGCCAATAGGAAGAAGGGACTCCCAGCAGCAGGAGAGAGGTGTCGGAGTCCCGAAGGCCGCGGTCCCAAGCAGACTCACCGGGTTCGCTCGGCTTCCTCCGCCCTCCTTTTCAAGGTAAAATCACTCTCGGTCTCCACCAACACTTTTCCGCTCGAACTCTCACGCATGCGCACTGCGACTCACAGGCCGGACCTAAACGAGAGAGGAGGAGGGACCCTAAACCGCGATCCCTTAGGTCACGGGGGTAATGGCACAGCCCGAAGTGGCCGCCGCCGCCCGCAGTCCTCAAAACAGTAATTGTAGAACCAAAATGTTTGAAGAGGTCCCACCGAGATTTGAACTCGGATCGCTGGATTCAAAGTCCAGAGTGCTAACCATTACACCATGGGACCTGCTGGGGGCTTGAGGCGGCCGGGAGGCTCCTCAAGCCACATGGCGCGCTGAACAGCCTTTCCAGAGCGGCGGCGGCGGCGGCGGCGGCAGCGGCGGCGGCGGCGGCCCGGTTCCCCCGGCCCGGGCTGGGCGCTCTGGACCCGAGGCCGCTCGGGCGGGCGGAAACAGCAAGGGCTGCCGCGGCCCCGATGTGGCCAGTGCCGGGGTGTCTCCTCTTGTCGCCGCTCTTCCTGCTCTTCTCCCGAGGTCCTGACCTGCGCCCGGGGAAGCCGGGAGGGCGGCGGCTGGGGGCGGAGACGGCCGGCGGCGGCGGCCCCTGCCGGGAGCGGAAGGCGAGGCGCACGCAGCCGGGCTCCGGACTCGTTTATTTATTTATTTCCACGAGACGCTGTTTGCGTGGCCCCTGTGGCCAAGCCGGGAGGGAAGTGGGCTGGCACGTGCCAGGACGGCGGTTCAAAGCCCGCGTTCCTTTAGTGGGACTTGAAACCACGGCTTTCTGCGGAAACCCAGAACATTCTGTAGACCCTTGGTGGACACTATGGTGGTGGGTGGTACATTTCAACCTGTAGGTCTTGATGAGTGGAGGACTTATCAGACCGTGTTGGGGTTTTCCAGGTTAACTGCCCAGTTAACCTTTTATAAGATTTGACTCAGCAGTTTCACTTTTGTAACTTTATCCTAGAGGACAACGAGGACCAGTGCCAAGTGTTCAAGGATGTTCTCAGCGGTGATGTTCACAATGGTAAAGAAGAGAATATAAAAGCGAAAATCGATTTAGTAAATATTGACAATATCTATATGATTAATACTGTGCAGGAATTTAGGGGATGAGTTTTTATTGTATTGACATTATTTTGATGTATAGGACTACATTGATTTATTGTATTGACATGAAAAGAGCGATAGGTCTACCCAGATGGAACCAACACCAAAAATCTACTTACCAGTTAGTATGCATAATAAAGTCCCACTTTTCTACAAACAGAAAAACTTCATACATGTGTAATAGACATTTGTCATTTATTTGTCCCATCACATCTGACTGGCTGCCTTTCTTGAGGGATCCAACATGGTGTGGGTCTGGGTGACAGCAGAGTGACTGTGTGTCCTTTAGCCTGGCCAGCTGGACTTGGAATCCAAAGCGACTGATGCCCAGAAATGGGGACATTTTAGTACTTGTTCTGCTCCTCGTGGTAGCTGTGACACCCAGTGTCTCAAGGGCAGTGACAGCGGCCGTGCCATCTCCACTGGCAGCAGAAGCTGGGTCCTAATCAGACTGCCCTGGATCCTGACCTTGGCTGGGTTCCTGGTTACTTAGGTCCCCTTAGTTCTTGTCTGTTTTCTTGAGTTGCTTTCCCTCATGCTGTGAGCTATCCGACTTTCTTCCAAGGAGTACTGTTCCTGTTTAAATTACCCGAATCTGTTTCTTTTCTTCTGTCAACAACCTGCTTGGGGGCGCCTGGGTGGCTCAGTGGGTTAAGCCTCAGGCTTCAGCTCAGGTCATGATCTCAGGGTCCTGCGATCAAGCCCCACATTGGGCTCTCTGCTCAGCAGGGAGCCTGCTCCCCCGCCCCTGCACTTGTGATCTCTGTCAAACAAATAAATAAAATCTTAAAAAGAAAAAAAAAAAAACCTGCTTTGCTCAAATCCAAAAAGGTCTGCTGTGGACAGATATCCCTGGGAAATACATTTATGAGGCCCCTTTCTTACAGTTTATGATTTACTGTATTGCTTGAAAAAGTATTTGATAACTCTTGTATATTGTCAGAAGAAACATTAAAGCTTTTCCATTTCGAGGAGTGAACCAAACTCCCATTGCATTCCCATGGTGAGATAAGGGTGTCTCTTCATTAGGCTGGAGTAACAACATGGAATTGACTTGATATCAAATGGCTTTAGTCTCTCGTTTCCCATCTATTTCCTTCTTACAAGCGCTCTGTACCCGTGAAGGTGTATTGAAATTAATTTTTCAGAAGCTACGTAAAAATCCTAAAGAATTGTGATTATGCCCTTTGAAAGTGTACAGGAGGTAGTTCCTTCTGTCCAGTAGGAAGATTTCTGCCTCCTCCCATTCCCTGGTTCTTCCTTTCCGGTTGCCTCCATCTTCTCAGCTTGAAACATCTTACCCGCCCAAATGAGACCCTTCACTGAAATCCCCACTCATGAATTCCTCAAGTTACGCAGAAGGATCCTCTCCCTGACAGCTCTTGTCATTACTTGCTGGAGTTATAGGTGTTTGTGTTCTGTGGCTCAGTCTCTCCCTTCCTCCCTTCCCATGTCCCCTTTGGTTGGACTGTGAATTGCTCTGGGGTCAAGGCCCAGGACTGGCTGATTTATAAATGTGGCTAGTGCCATACCAGAACTCAGGAGGGAGAAAGAACATTCTTTTTTTTTTTTTTTAAGATTTTATTTATTTATTTGACAGAAAGAGACACAGCGAGAGAGGGAACACAAGTGGGGGAGTGGGAGAGGGAGAAGCAAGCTTCCTGCTGAGCAGGGAGCCTGATGTGGGGCTCAGTCCCAGGACACTGGGATCACGACCTGAACTGAAGGCAGACGCCGACGACTGAGCCATCCAGGTGCCCCAAGAACATTCTTTTTAACATCACATTGGTTATTTGAGACAACAGAGAAAACAGAGACAATATGTAATCCCCCTGCGTGCCCATCTCTCGTTTCTTTTAACATAAATCCGTAATTCATGACACCCCAGAGATGGCATCCCATGAAGGCTCTGAGCACAGACCCTCAGCCTCCACAAGGGGGCTCCTCACACGTGGGGAAGTCTGGGCTCTGTGGGAGGCGGGGTTTGCCTGGCTTCAGCGGTGCCACCCGGGATTGAGGGCTGAACAGAGGCACAGGGTGGCCCAGAAAGTTTAATGAGGTCAGAGGTTAAGAAAAGACAGCTCAAGGGGCGCTTGGGTGGCTCAGTGGGTTGAAGCCTCTGCCTTCGGCTCAGGTCATGATCCCAAAGTCCTAGGATCGAGCCCTGCATCAAGCTCTCTGTTCAATGGGGAGCCCATTTCCCCGCCCCCCGCCTGCTTTTCTGCCTGCTTGTGATCTCTGTCAAATAAATAAATAAAATCTTTTAAAAAAAGAAAAAGGGGGTGCCTGGGTGGCTCAGTGGGTTAAGCCGCTGCCTTCGGCTCAGGTCATGATCTCGGGATCCTGGGATCGAGTCCCACATCGGGCTCTCTGCTCAGCAGGGAGCCTGCTTTCTCCTCTCTCTCCCTCTGCCTGCCTCTCTGCCTACTTGTAATCTCTGTCAAATAAATAAATAAAATCTTTAAAAATAATAATAATAAAATAAAATAAATTTAAAAAAGAAAAAGAAAAAGAAAAGACAGCTCAAGTCCGGGATTAGGGAGTTTCAAGGTATTCTCCTGTTTCCTGTGAGCCTGTAAATGGTTAGCGAATGGGACAATAGGTACAGTAATGCTTTGAGTGAAGTGGAAAGAATTCAGGTTCACCGTCAAATCCAAGTCAGTTTCCTTTATCCATGCTGATACTGCTCACAGCTAGCTGCAATAGAATCAACCTTGCTCTGTGTCTTTGCCACACAGGACAGACGACATGTGCCACAAATCCCCTACTTTGCCTTGGGAGCCCGAGCTATTCCAGACAAGCCATAAGCGCCACCTTGTGCCAGGTGACACGTGAGACCCTGCGTCTCTGAGCATCCCGCCCTGCCCCCTGCTCTGGGCTTGGCGTTACAGAGGCTCTGAAGGGGCAATCTGGCTGCTTACTTTCTTTGAACAAAACAGCATCTACATTTTATCCTTTTTTTGAAAGTTTTCACTTTCTCCTCTTAAAATAATTATTTTATCTTTTCAGATTATAAAGGTGAAGCTTTTACTATGGAAAATGTAGAAAATACAGCACAGCAGAAAGAATTTTAAATAACTACAATTCCAACAAACACTTTTTTAAAAAGTTTATTTTCTTTAGTAATCTCTCCACCCAACGTGGGCTCCAACCCACGTACCTGAAATCAAGAGTTCCACGCTCTTCTGGCTGAACCAGCCAGGCCCTCCCCAACAAGCACCTTTAACACTTGATTTTTTTTTTCCACTTTCTGTTTTTAAATCCATTTTTATGTAGTCTTCATTGTAAAATTTTATGTTCTGCTTTTGTGCTTAATATAACAATGACATGTTACTTAAAAACCTTGTTTCTTAAAAAAAACAAACACCTTGTTTCTTCTTTCCTTAAAAAGTTTAAAGTATTACGTGGGTAATACATGAGCACAATACAAAATTCACAAGGTATAAAAGGAAATGCACAAACAAAACTTCTGGACTATAATTTTTTTTAAAGATTTTATTTATTTATTTGACAGACAGAGATCACAAGTAGGCAGAGAGGCAGGCAGAGAGAGAGGAGGAAGCAGGCTCCCCGCCCAGCAGAGAGCCCGATGCGGGGCTCCATCCCAGGACCCTGGGACCATGACCTGAGCCGAAGGTAGAGGCTTTAACCCACTGAGCCACCCAGGGGCCCCTTGACTATAATTTTTTAAAAGATTTTGTTTATGGGGTGCCTGGGTGGCTCAGTGGGTTAAAGCCTCTGCCTTCGGCTCAGGTCATGATCCCAGGGTCCTGGGATGGAGCCCCGCATCGGGCTCTCTGCTCCGTGGAGAGCCTGCTTTCTCCTCTCTCTCTGCCTACTTATGATCTCTGTCTGTCAAATAAATTTAAATCTTAAAAAAAAAAAAAGATTTTATTTATTTATTTGACAGAGAGAGAGAGAGAGAATGAGTGCAAGCAGGGGGAGCAGCAGAGAGAGAGGCAGAAGCAGGCAGGGCGCCTAACGTGAGACTCCATCCTAGGACCCCAGGATTATGACCTGAGCTGAGAGCAGACGTCCGAAGGACAGAGCCACCCAGGCACCCCTTGACTCTAATTTTCTGCTCTCAGAGGCAATTTCTGATGCTCTCCTTCTAGAGATATTTTATCCTTACACAAATATACATGAATATGCATACTCCTTTCTTTTTTCCACCTTTTAAAAAGTAAGCCTTATGCCCAACGTGGGGCTTGAACTCACAACCCTGAGATCAGGAGTCTTATGCTTCACTCACTGAGCCAGCCAGGCACCCCATATTCCTTTTCTTTTAAAAAAGTAGAAACACTGGGGGCACCTGGGTGGCTCAGTGGGTTAAAGCCGCTGCCTTCAGCTCAGGTCATGATCCCAGGGTCCTAGGATCAAGTCCTGCATTGGGCTCTCTGCTCAGCAGGGAGCCTGCTTTCCCGCCCCCCCCCTGCTTACTTGTGATCTCTGTCAAATAAATAAATAAAGTCTTTAAAAAAAAAAAAAGTAGAAACACTGTTCCGCACTTTGTTTTACTCACTTAGCACTGGATCTTGAAGATTGTTCCATAATAGAACAAAAATCTAATTAAATGGTATTTTATTGAGATGTCATTTACATAAAGTAAGCACAAACCATTTCCCTGATAGCTAATGATGTTGAACCTCTCTTTTACATGCTCCCTAGCCATTTGGATGTCTTCTTTTCTAAGTGCTTCTTCAAGTATTTTGCCCATTTAGAACAACTGCCCTTATCTTATTGATTTATAGGAATTCTTTGTATATCTGGGATATGCATCCTTTTGCCAAATATTTGTATTACAGATCTTTTCTTTTCCCAGTCTGTAGCTTTTATTTCTTTCTTTTTTTAACATTTTATTTATTTATTTGCCAGTGAGAACAGGAACACAAGCAGGGGGAGTGGGAGAGGGAAAGCAGGCTTCTTGCCCAGCGGGGAGTCCGATGCGGGGCTCGATCCCAGGACCATGGGAACATGACCCAAGCTGAAGGCAGATGCTTAACGACTGAGCCACCCAGGCGCCCCTTCTTTTCACTTTCTTAATAGTGTCCTTTGATTGGCAGAAGGCTTTAGTTTAATTTCAACCAAATCAAATATATCCTTTTGTTTTCCTTTTATGAGTCATGCCTTCTGTGTCCTTGCATGCAGAGAGCTGGGATCCTTTGCCAAGCACACGGGATAGGAGAGGAACAGATTATTCAGTTACATAATTAAAACTTTGGTAATCTCTTGGTAAAATTTCAAGTGGGATAAGAGACATACATTTTGTATGGGAGACTTGTTTGAAGCCAGAGCAGGAAGGCTGAAGGGCATGAGGCCGGCTGGAGCATCTAGGCAAAGGATTAAGAAAAAGAAGAGACTTGAGCTCTTGATTCTTGACCAAGAGTCACTTGAGTGACCCAGAAGGTTAAGCCTCTCCCTTCGTTCAGGTCATGATCCCAGAGTCCTGGGATCGAGCACCGCGTCGGGCTCCCAGCTTTGCGGAGAGCCTGCTTCTCCCTCTCCCTCTGTCTGCCGCTCCCCCTGCTTGTGCCCTCTCTCTCTGTCAAATAAATAAATAAAATCTTTACACATAAATTTTAGGGGCGCCTGGTTGGCTCAGTGGGTTAAAGCCTCTGCGTTTGGCTCCGGTCATGATCCCAGGGTCCTGGGATCGAGGCCCGCATCGGGCTTTCTGCTTGGCGGGGAGCCTGCTTCCTCCTCTCTCTCTCTGCCTGCTTGTGATCTCTGTCGGTCAAATAAATAAATAAATAATCTTTGAAAAATAAATAAAAATAAAAGTAAATAAAAATAAATTAAAAAAAAAAAGAAAAAGCTGCATTCAGATATGACTCCTGTGAAGGTCATTCGATATACGGTTGAGAGGAAGAGATGGGGTAGAGACAGCGACCAACTGGGAAACGGGTGATTCTGAAACTTACTGGTGTCCAGAACAGACTATGTGCCTATCAAGACTCTAGAATATCAGGAATGAGAACTGGTAGGAAAAATCAGCGTGCTGGCATGTTAGTGATTTCCTGCAGTAGTCTTTAGGATGGTCCTATAAGGAAGACAAGCTTCAGGCTGAAAGTGCCCTGTTTTAAAGCAGATGTAATACGGTTTCTTTAAGAGTGGCTTGCAATCCTAGCTTCCTGGAAGTCCTGTAATTTGGAGCCTTGCAGGTCCAGAAGAGCTTAATTCTCTACCCCAAGAGAAAGCACCAACAGAGACAGGAGACTTAGCAGGAGACCAGGTTAAGCAAAAAAACCAGCCTATTTACATTGTGATGTTTTCATTATTTTCTGCGCACAAAGAGGAAAAGCCTGGGAGCAAAGAGCCGATTACAGTCTCTTTGTCCTTCAGAGGAAGGTTTTGAACAGCCTCAAGGCAGAAGCCATTTAACTGAGTGCCAGAGGGTAAAGGAGGCACCCAAGGTGCCTCCTGGGGTTACCAGAATGGGTTTCCCAGTCTCAAAGACTATGTCTAGGGAAGATTTCTGAAATTGACTGGAAATGACAGAAAAACATCTTAAGTTTTAAGGAACTGCTAACAAAATTTCATTAGCAATTCAATTCCCTTAAAAATCTTACTGATAACTTCCAGCGAGTTTTATCTCACGGCCATTCCTGGGCACGTGAAGGGCACTAACAGGAAGTGGGCAGATAAAGCTTTGACAGGCCACAGAAGGGTCACCCTGCCCCAGGACCACTCAGATGGGGATATGGACGATAGTGGACAAGGGCACCCCTCCTTGACAGAAGAACCTGGAACTGCCAGATGGGCTGAGCAAGGCACCCCCTCCTCTTGCCAGGCTTGGAATCCCTGATCTTCCTCCTGATCTTAGCACACCTGTGATCTGCCCTGCCTCTTTATCCCACCTGAGACTGTTCACAAGTTTAAACTTGGGTCAAGTCTCTGGTACTTGTAGGTAAAAGCATTCTAATAGATAATCTTTTCATAGTGGCTTATATATACTTTCGGTATATATTGAAAAATATATATTGAAAAATCAAAAACAGGGGCACCTGGGTGGCACAGTTAAGCTTCTGACTCTTGGTTTCAGTTCAGGTCCTGATCTCAGGGTCGTGAGATCGAGCCCCGCCTCCGGCTATGCGCTCAGCACCGGAGTCCTCTTGAGTTTCTTTCTCCATCTCCCTCTGCCCCCCTCCCACTCGTGCTCTCTGTCAAATAAATAAATAAATCCAGATAACTAACAGTTCCCGGGTGGAGGAGAGAATATCCAGAAGAAAGCTGATCCCGGTCCCATTTCCACTTCCGGCCACGTGAAACAGACACACCCACACATGCCTGGTGGCCTGCAGTTCCCTCTTTGCTGAAAGTCCCAGAAGCAGTTTTCCTTTCCTGAGCAGGGGATGTGGAATGAGCCGGTGGAGGGGAGACAGTGAGAGCAGGCTCGAGCTCCACCTGGAGGCCCGTACAATGATTTACACCAACTTGTCCTGGAATTTGGGGTTTGGCCAGAGTCTCAGGAAGGATGACTTCACTGTCCTTTAGTGTTACTTCCCTGGAAGTGATACTTCACTGTCCTGCAGTGTCCTGGAAGGAAACCTCTGTCGTTGGTCTGATCCGGGCTGCTGGGTTTGTGTCTGAAATGCAAGACTGGACGGAGGTCCATGTGGCTCTTATTGTCTGATTTTTGCTTCCAAACCACCCAAGGAGAAAACTTTTTAGTTACGCTTTTCTGTTTTGAAAACAGGCAGACACACAGAATGGTTGTATTATTCAGAACACTGTGGTTATAAGTAACAGGAGCCAACTCAAATTAGGTTAAGCAAAAAGGAAGAATTATAAGGGTATAGTGTTTCACAAAATCCCAGGGCAGGACTGTAGCCAGACCTCAGGAAAGAACCAGAAGGCTGTCAGGAGGCTCTCGTTTCAGCTCCTCTTTGTGCATATGTTGCTTTTTTTTTTTTTTTCCTGGCTGAAGGCTGGCTGTCTCAGCTCCTGTCACATGGTGTAAGGGACACGTCGTCAGCTCCTGAGTGTGATGTCTGAAGTCCAGCCATCCACAGAGACTTGCTTTGCAGACCCAATTCAAATTTTTTTTTTTAAGATTTTATTTATTTATTTGACACAGAGAGACACAGAGAGATAGGAAACACAAGCAGGGGGAGTGAGAGAGGGAGAAGCAGGCTTCCAGCTGAGCAGGGAGCCCGATATGGAGCTTGATCCCAGGACCCTGTGATCATGACCTGAGCCGAAGGCAGAGGCTTTAACCCACTGAGCCACCCAGGTGCCCCTAGAGAGGATATTTCGGACTACGATATCATCCCTCCCAAATAACCCTCAAAAACCCCATAGCCATTCCTAAGGAATGACTAAGGGAGCCAACCCATACTCTACTCTTTTGCAGGAGATCCAATAGGGGATGTGCAGGTGTTCCATAAACAGTACTGCATCATACAAATAACGATGGGCTTCTGTTGCCTTTCTCAGGGACTGGTCCATTTCTAATGAGCCTCTGATGGGTATTTGTAGTAACTGAGCCCCACCCCCCTGCCCCACCCACTGGCTTGTCCTCAACAGCCTTGTCTCATCAGGTGTCCCACCCCCAGTTCCACTGTCTTAGGTACCCAACCCCAGTAAGCCTAGAGCTTTTCCGATGCCCAGGAGCCTTCATGAAGAGCACTGGAGATGGTTCTTGAAGTAATGGAGTGCCAGCTTGAACTGGACCTGTTCCTTGGTGTTGGTCCGGAATGTGCTGTAGGTCTTCTCCAGTGCGGCCAGCTCCCGGTCGGTCACTGGAGACCTGGCCTGGTGACCTATGATCACTTCTGGACATGATCCCACGAGCAAGCTCCCGAGCCCGTCAATAAAGAACTCTGCCAAGAGAGGGAGAGCGTAAGCTTCAGCCAAAGACCCCGGGGCCATATTCCAGGTCTGGGGGGAGAGGCAGGTGGGGAAGGGTGTGGTGTGTACCCACAGGGAAGTTGAGCGTCAGGCAAAGCCCCCTGCCCAGGCTAATGAGTGGGAAGGAAATAAGTAACCACATTTCTCCGAGGTGCGGCCAGAGAGGCAGAGAGACCCAGAACAGCAAACTCCAGAACTGAGGGAATCAGAGGGGAGTGAGGGAGGGGACAGAGCTGCAGGGGAAGGGTGTCTCACATGGGAGCAGCAGACGGGAGATAAGAAATCACAGTGAGAGGAAGAAGGGAGGCAAGAGAGACCCTGAGCTCCCTCGTTGGGGGAAAGGGAGAAGAGCCCACTGTTGCCGGCAACGACCATGATCAGTGACTCGCGGCTCTTGGAAAGGACAAACGCCTGAGGTTAGTCCATGGGCGAGCACCTTCCCCACTCAGCTTGTCCCCACCTGAGTGAGCCACCCGCTGTAGGCGGGGGTCGAAGCCAACTCTCTGGAGCCGCTCCGTGTGGGCCAGGAAGAAGTTGACAACGCCACTGGTCACCACGCAGTGGGGGAAGCCATCCAGGGGTCCGAAAGAGCCTGGCCTCCGGTGAAGACAGTCCCCATTCTGACTCTTCTCCAGCAACAGCTTAAACTGGAACACATTTCCAAGTACACTGCCACCTACCTAACCGGTGGGCAGAGAAACGCATGTTAGAGAACATAGACTTGATATCCACGTTGCCTCTGCCAGGAAGCCTTCCTGGAATGAACCTGAGTTACAACAAGAATCACACCTGTTCTGTATCTACCCTCCATACTACTCCTTGGATACTCTCTTGTTGCTGTTGCGGCCACAGTCTTTCAAACACCACGGCTGGGTCCCTTGATCTTTTTATCCTGCTCACCGCAGAAAATCTCCTTGGTAAGAGCAGAAAGCGCCAAGTCCAAAGGGCACACGACTCTGCTCCACTCACCCGACAGCAAGTTCACTCTTTCCAGAAGGTAGGTCACTCCCTTTCACGAGGAGGAGCAGTGTTTGCGTGCCAACAAGCAGCAGCTTGCGTGCACACGGGTCCTTTTGTGGAGTCCCCACAGCCGGGCTTCTTGCAACAAGCCGTGTGCGTGTGTCTCAAGCTGCCTTCCTCCCACTCCTCTGCTCCTGGCTCTCCTCCCTGAGCTGTCTGTCCACACGCTCACGGAAGATCTGTGCATTTCTACGTGTGAGCCCCAGCACAACAGGATGAGTCCTGAACCCTCATATTCCTCTAGGGTGGCCCTTAGTCCCCCCGTCACTAGTTCCTTCCTTCTTTCTTTAGCAAAGAGACCCTCCGAGTTGTAAGTGGACTAAATGAAGAGAGCCAGCTACACCAGTAAAGACGGACTCTTCCCCACTTCCCTTGCGAGGTCTGACCATGTGTCTAAGTCCTGGCTGAAGGGATGTGAATTAGAAGGGATGTCTGCAACTTCTCACACATTCTGCAAAGGCAAATGCTTGTCCTTCATGTTTTCTCCCCCTTTCTTCCGGCCACACAGCCAAGGACTGTGAGGACAGCACAGCACCGAGGGAAGGAGGCTGGTCCAGGAGGACCCTGGAAGCAAAGTTAAGGGCCAGCTTGGATTTTCACACGACAAGAGTTCTGCTTTCTACTCCACTGATGTACTGTGATCGGCTCTCTGGAAGAGTAGCCAGGAGATACCCTGGTCTTTTCTTGTTGTTTGTTTTTTTTTAAGGTTTTATTTATTTGACAGAGACAGCGAGAAAGAGAACACAAGCAGGGGGAGTGGGAGAGGGAAAAGCAGGCTTCCCACTGAGCAGGGAGCCCAATGTGGGGTTCAATCCCAGGACCCTGGGATCACGACCTGAGCCAAAGGCGGACTTTTAACGACTGAGCTACCCAGGCACCCCTAGCCAGGAGACATCTTAGTCAATACAGATGTCTTGGGGACTGTCCTCCTGGAAGAGAGAACTGTGATCTCAATGCCACTGATTTTCTTATCTATTTCCTGTTTTTCTTTTTTTTTAGAAACAGCTTTTATTGAGCTCTCTTTGACACATTAAAATTGTACATATATTTTTAATCCTACATATTTAAGGTGTAGGGTTTGATGTTTTGATATGTGTAGACATTGCGAAACCACCGCAATCAAGCTAATTACCATATCCATCACCTGCATTGTAACCATTGTGCCCGCGGCCAGAAGACTGAAGATCTGTTCTCTTCACAGATTTCAAGAATACAATACACTATTATTAACTATAGCTGCCTTTTTCTTTTCTATGAAGCAAATGACTTTTGATGTTCTCATTCTTTTCTTTCTTCTTTTTTAAATGTCATGAGGGTGATGTGTGCTTTTTAGAACTTTGTACCATTTGCATTTTTTTTTTTTTACATCAACACACCATTTTAAAGACAGAACGAGGGTTAATGTGATGGGGGCGATGTAATTTGCCCAAAGAAAAGAAAATTTGGAGGCAGAAGCCGAAACCACACAGCTCCTGATTCCCACCGAGCTGTGCCGGCTTATTCCTCTCCTGCCCCAGCCCCTCCCCCGACCCTCCCCCTCCTTCCCCTTCCCTCCCCTCTCCCCCTCCTCTTCCCCTTCCCTCTCCAGACCAGCTCTACAGGTTGCAACTGGGGTAAAACTGGCCACTCTCCCTTACCACGTCCAATTCTGTTTTCTCGAGGACATCCACCAGCACCTCAATCTTGGTGTCGTTGTTGAAGAGGAAATCGTCATCCACCCAGAGAACGTATTTGGTGGTGACCTGAGAGATGGCCAGGTTCCTACCAGCAAACCAACCCTGTGGGTGGAATGAGGTCAGATCAGCGGTTGCCATCCCTGGCCACATTTTAGAATCACCTGGGAGCTTTCCAGGGGGGACGCCTGGGTGGCTCAGTGGGTTAAGCCTCTGCCTTCGGCTCAGGTCATGATCTCAGGGTCATGGATCGAGCCCAGCATTGGGCTCTCTGCTCATCGGGGAGCCTGCTTCTCCCTCTCTTCTCTGCCTGCCTCTCTGCCTACTTGTGAGCTCTCTCTCTCTTCTGTCAAATAAATAAAATCTTTAAAGAAAAAAATAAAATAAAATAAATTCCCCACCGCCAGGCTGCACCCCAAACAGCAGTTGAAAACCACTGAGTTCAAGGGAGCTCGTGTCTCAGAGACATGGGAGGAAGGACAGTGACTCCCTGAATCAAAGGCTGAGGCGGGGAAAGACTAGGAAGTTCTCCCTTGCTCCTAGGACCAGTGTGGAAGGGTGGAAGTCCTTTTTCACCCAAGTCTCTGTGGCTCTCCTTCCATTTCCCCTGATGGTGCCTGGAAGGTGATGGAGGGTGGGGAGCTACAGTTTGTTTAATATCCATTTCCTTGTGTGTCCTGGAGGAAAGAGGGTGTGTGTGCGGGAGAGAGAGAGCGAGCCTCTAGCCTGGGAGGAATCCTAGGGATCACAAGTTTCTCTGCATGTCAGGAATCCCTAGAATGTCAGACACCTCAAGTCATGTAGAAGGACCTCAATGAATGTCCGTACCAAAGACAGATTAACCACTTCATTCATGCAGAAACATGAGGGTGGTCCGATTTCCCTGTGAACTTGGAGTCGGTGAAGGGACACAGAGGAAAGTCCCATCCCCTCTGCTCCGGCATCATGCCATCCTGGGAAAGCCACTCAAGCATCCCCATCTGGGGCAGAACCTGACTCCAGGGCCCTCTTTCCCGGGACCCAGACACCTCCCCATGTGGGCGGTATGTACCTTCCCGAAGGGCATGAGGTAATATTCCACATGGTTGTCATTAATCTTTAGGGGCTCCTTGCTGTCATCGGCCACGATCACTGTCAAGTCTGGGTAGTACTCACGAAGGCTCCGGAGCATGGTCATGAGCTTGTGGGGACGGAGGAAGGTTTTGGTGGCAACGGTCACCAGGTCTCTGAGCTTCCTCTCTGGATGAGAAAGGGTGAGGTGTCAGAGCTCTGCCTTTTGGGAAGCCTCACTGACTTGACTTGAGCTGTTCTGGTGATTTCTTTATGCCACGTCCTCGTGCCTCTCATATACAGCACTTGGTAAGAGTTTGTTAGTCGTAACAGAAAATAAATGTAGTTAAAACACAGCCAGCTTGTTGAAATTGCATGTTATCTTCTAGAATTTCTTTCCCTGGTTCTGTTGGCTTGACTATGCCATCTCCTCCCATCAGTGTGAATGCTCTGTCTTACCAAAACTATTTGGATCCTGCTGTGGTGTTAATACTAGGAATCGAGATGCACAGAGCTCTGCCCATCAGGGGGTTCAAGATCAGGGTCGGGGGAGGGGAGAAAAGATCTAAAGGACTTGAGACCTGCGCCCCGTCATCAGCTGCACTCCTAGAGAGAAGCACACTTGGTCTCCCTGCTCAGGAAGACATCCGTGGAAGAAGGTCTACTTGGAGAGTGGAAGGTCTGGACCAGATAGTCCAGCTCAAGGCATGTGATCAATATAAAAATTTGGAAAAGGAACAGCTTTTCTGCAGAAAAGGCTTCATATGAATCAGCTGGAGCTGTGGTGTGTTTTGGGGGTTTAGTCACCAAACGTGGAGGCACGCCTGCTGACCGAGGCTGTGGGATGTCTGGGTGGGGTGGGCTCTGTTGCAGTTAATGCCGGCTGAAAGCCACAACCCTACCAGTGGCTTGTGGGCGAGTGCTCCAGAACACCACCGCAGAGCTCCTTCTCAGAATGACAGAAATCAGAAGTCCTTCCAGAATCCTCTTTTTAATACCTGTTGTACCATTACAGCAGCTCCCCCGGGGGGCTGAGGGCATGAGGGAAAAATGACCGGCGGGAAGAGTCAAGTAAATTGTGTTCAAGGGCATGCCAAGTGAATTATGTCCTCCCTTTTCTTGGGCCACATGCCAAGTTGGGTTCTTTTGTTACAGTAAAGAGAGAACGAGGAGCGTGAATTACTAGAGGATGTAGTCAAGACTGGGGGGCTCCTGGCTAAGTTGGTGGTGTAGCTTTCTGTTTGAGAGTCCCTATTTTTTTCCAAATATACAGCAACGATAAAATTACAAAGATAGAACGATGCACGAAAATAACCATTACTTCCAAGGAATAAAAATAAAAATCAGTGAGCAGAGCTGGGACCTCCTGCATTCTGGGATCAGAAGTAACGGGGGGGGGCGCCTGGGTGGTTCAGTGGGTTAAAGCCTCTGCCTTTGGCTCAGCTCATGATCCCAGGGTCCTGGGATCGAGCCCCGCATCGGGCTCTCTGCTCAGCAGGGAGCCTGCTTTCTCCTCTCTCTCTCTGCCTGCCTCTCTGCCTACTTGTGATCTCTGTCAAATAAATAAATAAAATATTAAAAAAAAAAAAAAGAAGTAACAGAGGAGGCTGATTCTGAAGGGTAATGGAATTAAGATATCTCACGTAATGTGTGGGTCCAGAACCAGGCTTTTTGCTAGAAGTCATGGACTAGAGCTAGGTGGCACACCCTCCATCCCTCACCACTACCTGCCAGGCAAGGAACCCCAGAACAGCCATCACCCCTGCACGCACCTCCAGGTGCAAACAGAAATGACATCACTTCACAGCCACGACCTATGCCAAGCCATCCTCAGGCCCAGCAACGGGCTCTTTCATAACTCCGATATCACCATGAGAAGGAATCCCGAGCCTCCAGTATCAGAAGGTAGACCAGAAGGCTGAGGAGACAGGGATCAGATCCAAGGCTAAAGCTGTGAGATGGGAAGGAGCCAGGAGAGAGAAGGGGGAGAGAAAACAAACAAGCACAACCTCCTACTCATGATGAGCTCACCCACAAAAATTACAGAGCACTTAAAGGAAATTAGCATGAACGACAGCCAATGAATCTCCTGTATACAGATGTACCCACTCCGGACAGACAGAAAATAACAGAGAACTCCAAAAATGATTTAAAATAAGAATGTTCAGGGGCGCCTGGGTGGCTCAGTGGGTTAAGCCGCTGCCTTCGGCTCAGGTCATGATCTCAGGGTCCTGGGATCGAGTCCCGCATCGGGCTATCTGCTCGGCAGGGAGCCTGCTTCCCTCTCTCTCTCTCTCTCTCTCTCTCTCTGCCTGCCTCTCTGTCTACTTGTGATCTCTCTCTGTCAAATAAATAAATAAAATCTTAAAAAAAAATAAAATAAGAATGTTCAAGCAATGGCAAATATATATTCTTCCTCCTCTTTCTTTTTACGGAAACAATAGCTTCCTCTTCCCTCTCTCATTTTGTGTCAGTATTAAAAAAAAGCCTTCCCCTGTGTTTTCTCCTCCCTCCTTCTGAATGCCTCTGCACAGAATTTCATTATACGGATGGACCACAGTTGATCTGATCGGTGCACTTCTAAGGTTTTTGTGCTTGCAAACAATGCTGCAGTAAAGAACCTCGAACAGACATCATTTCACACAGATATAAATATCTGTATGATAATTTGTAGAAGTACAATTGCTGGGCCAAAGGGAATGCACATTCCAAATGTTGATCGGTATTGCCAAATTACCTCCGGAAAGCCTGTGCCCATTTCCATTTCCCAGCAGGAGTTTGTAAGAATGCCTGCCCCTCCCCACTCCTTGTCCAGTACTTTCTGATAATGAATGTATTTTTCATTTGCACTTTTTTTAGTATGAGACTGAGCATATATACTAACAGCGAAAAGTACTGTTGAATTTCATCTGTTGCCAACTGTGCATTTTTCCATTGGCTTACTAGGTGTTTGGCTTTTTGTTTTGTGTTGTTTAGGTGGTTTAAACAAAAACAAACACATTGACTTATTTGGGATGCCTGGGTGGCTCAGTCAGTTAAGCCATCTGTCTTTGGCTCAGGTCATGATCCCTGGGATCTAGTCCCCCATCGGGCTCCTTGCTAGGTGGGGAGCCTGCTTCTCCCTCTACCTGCTGCTCCCTCTGCTTGTGCTCTCTCTCCCTGATAAATAAATAAATAAATAAAATCTTTAAAAACATTTACTTATTTAAGTACTCTCTACACCCAAGGTGGGGCTTGAACTCCCAATCCCCAGATCACGAGGTGCAAGCGCTACTGACCGAGCCAGCCAGGCACAAAAGCCTATTAACTGTCTTATGGATTCACAGGTGATTTCAAGTAAAAGTACACCTTTGGGGGCACCTGGGTGGCTCAGTGGGTTAAAGCCTCTGCCTTTGGCTCAGGTCATGATCTCAGGGTCCTGGGATCCAGCCCCACATCAGGCTCTCTGCTCTGCGGGGAGCCTGCTTCCTCCTCTCTCTCAGCCTGCCTCTCTGCCTGCTTGTGATCTCTGTCAAATAAATAAATAAAATCTTAAAAAAAAAAAAAAAGTACACCTTTGACTTTAACGTGTGTTGAAGATATTTTTTTCCCCAATTTGTTGTCATTTGCCTTTGCTTTTGGTGGGTTTCTGCCCAAATAGCATTTAAAATTTTTATGTATTTTATGTGTGTAGTCTTCTCTTTCTGGTCTTTGTGTTTTTGGTTTGTTTTATTTTTTAAGATTTTATTTATTTATTTGACAGAGAGAGACATCGAGAGAGGGAAGACCAGCAGGGGGGTGGGAAAGAAAGAAGTAGGCTTCCAGCTAAGCAGGGAGCCTGATGTGGGGCTCAATCCCAGGACCCTGCCCAGGACCCTGGGATCATGACCTGAGCCGAAGGCAGACACTTAACGACTAAGCCAACCAGGGGCCCCCTGGTCTTTGTGCTTTATGTCATATTTAGAAAGGTCTTATACTCTGAGGTTTTTTTGTTTTTTGTTTTTTGTTTTTTTTAAACTGCACATGTTTGGGACGCGTGGGTGGCTCAGTCGGTTAAGCTGTTGCCTTTGGCTCAGGTCATGATCCCAGGGTCCTGGGATGAAGTCCTGCATCAGGCTCTTTGCTCGGCAGGGAGCCTGCTTCTCTGCCTTTGCCTGCCACTCTGCCTGCTTGTGCGCTGTCTCTCATGCTCACAAATAAATAAATAAATAAAATCTTTTTAAAAAATTAAAAAAATAAACTGCATGGGTTTTGTTTTTTTTCTAGCACTTAAAAATATGAGATAGTTGGGGCACCTGGGTGGCTCAGTGGGTTAAAGCTTCTGCCTTCGGCTCAGGCCATGATCCCAGGGTCCTGGGATCGAGCCCCACATCAGGCTCTCTGCTCAGGGGGGAGCCTGCTTCCCCCTCTCTCTCTGCCTGCCTCTCTGCCAAATAAATAAATAAAATCTTAAAAAATATATATATGAGATAGTTGATCAGTTTGGAATTTGTCTTGGTGTGAGCTATAAGATAGATTGATCTTTTTATCTTCCTTTATCAACGCAGTTGTCCCATGTGACTTCTTGGATCATCCATCTCTGCACCCTTTAATTTGGAAAGCTACCTTTCTCACAGGATACAACTCCAACGTATCATTCTCTGGGTTTCCGATTCGATTCCATCGATATTATCTAGCCATGGTCCAATACTGCTCTGTGTTTATTACTATTACTTATTAAGATGTTATAATTGTTGTTTTTTTTCCAGAATAAGCACAACCACATAATAAGTTAAATACAATTAAGCAATATGAGAATATTAGAATTTTTTTCTAATTTTTCTAATTTTTTAATTTTTTCTAATTTTCTAATTTTTTTCTAATTTTTCTAATTTTTGTCAGGAATCCTATCAGAGCGGTTATTTTCATCAACTCTCCTCCTTGGCCTCAAGAGCTGATCTCTTCTGAGTTTCACCAACTAGCTCGACAAGACCCCACCCTGCACCCCCCAGGAGCCAGGGCCTTACCTGGTCCGGGGTCGTATAACTTGGGGATGACAGGATAGCGGATGGTCACTGGAAACTTGACCACCGAGGACTCGGACTCCAGACTCACTGGAGGGAGAAATAAGGTCAAGGAGGGCAACACAGAGTCTAGGTCACTTTCCATACTGCCCCAAGGTAGACGATCTGCAGCAGGGAGTGAAGGCTCCGTAAAGAAATGTCCTGCCTGGAATGAGACCCCACTGAGTTTACAGCATTCTGGCCCCTGACTTGTTGTGTGTCCCTGGGGTAACTGACTAAGTGCTTTTTTTTTTTTGTAATTAAATAATCTCCATGCCCAACATGGGATTTGAACTCATAACCCTGAGAACAACAGTCGACTGCTGACTCTTGACTGAGGCAGCCAGGTGCCTCCTGCTGAATGCTCCTTAACTCGAATTTCTTCCACTGTGAGAGTCTGGTGGGGTAGAGTAGGCTTCGAATCAGAGGGCCTGGAATAAGTTTGACTTTGCCATTTATTATCTGAACTACTTGGGTAAATCAGTGCTTGCTTCGGCAGCACAAATACTCAAATTGGAAAGATACAGAGATCACCATGGCCCCTGAGCAGGGATTCCACACAAATTCGAAATGCCTTGGGTAAATCACTTACTCTCCTTCTCCAGCTACAAAACCAGGATACCACCACCCGCCCTGTTTTATCTCACAGGGTCATTTGGTGAAGGGAGATGTTTGGGAATCTATAAGTAGAAAGGGTGCTCTCTTTAGTTCATGGTCATGCATAATCTATCCTGTGTTTCATTTTTCTGCTGGTGTCTTGGGAATGCATCCTGGGTAGCTAGTGAAAAGAGAAAAGAATGACTTTAATTCCCCCACATCCCTCTTTTTTTGTTAATGTCCAGGACGAGATATTGATGCACAGACTGGGTCCATCCTCTCTCACAGCTGAAGTCTTCAGCTCTGAGAGCTACGGATAATGGGGAATGGAGCCGGCTGGTTTCCAGGTGCAGAGCACAAAGGATCTGCCCTCAGAGGGAAATGCATTTTCTTCAAGTCACGCAATAGGGTCAGTGGCAGCATGGAGTAATGTTGGAGACAGTAATTGAGAAGCTGGACATCTACGGTTGGAAACAAGAGTAAGTGAAGAATCCTAAATGCTGGCAGGCTTCCTGGAGGAGGAAGACTTTGAGAAGGCCCAGTGGTGTTTTCCCACTCCCTAAGCATTTTGCTTAGGACAGGCTCTCACCCACATCCACCCTGTGGTGCTGGTACACCGTGCTGGTGTAAGTCACGTGCTGGAGGATGAAATTCAAAAGCTTCCGGTCACTGGTCGAAATGGTCAGCCGCTTCTGGCCTCTGCCCTGCACCACACTGTCTGGGATGTCAGCGAGGGTGTTCAGTGTCCCCAGAGAAGCGGTCAGGGTGACCTAAGGCCGGTGAGGCAGAAAGACGCTAAATGCGAGGGAAGGCACATACCCAGGATGGCCAGCAGGGGGAAGAGAGGAGGCGCCCCCTAGCGTCCCTGGGAGCTGGGGTCTGGTGCCAAAGCCGTTTGCTGCTCTGTCCCCAGAGGACGACAACCAAGTCCTGGGGACTCGTGTGTTCAAAGGCCACTGGTCTCTTAGGTCTTGGATTACAGGATCCCATTCTTCTAGATTTCTCCTTACTCCTGCTGGCTGCTCCTTTTGATTTCCGACTTCCTCCTCCGCCTCTGTCTAACCTCCCAATGCAGTTTTTCCGGGTTTGGTTTTGTGCCCTTTTTCTCTTCCTATTCAACACCTTCTCACTAGAGGTGGCGGCTTGAAATACCATTCATATGCTAATGACTTAAATGTATGTCTCCAGCTCTCCTCTCAAGATCCAACTGCCTGGCCGATTGCTCCGCTAGGAGTGCCACAGGAACCTGAAGTCTTCACAACCGAACCACTGATTTTTCTCTATACACCTGTTTGTCACCCTCTTCCCGGTTCCCCCTGCCTTGTGAATGGTACCTTCATCCATTTAACTGTTGCGGTCCCTAATGGAGGTCATTCCCACTCTGCATGAGTCCGTCATGTCTACCTTCAACATGTAGCTAGAACTGGTCCCCTCTCTCCATCCCACTGCTACTCCCTAAAGCCCATCTCCTCTCCTGCCTTCTTGTCCTCTGGGCAGCCGGGTATTTTTATGAAAAGTACAGTGGGTTCCCCCACACCTTCTGAAAACACTTCGGTCAGCCAACAGGTGTTTTCTGAGATGCAAATTATAGGTCCTGGGAAAAGAGTAGTGAATAAAATTAACTCCCCACCTTCAAGAGGCTTATATTCTAGTTGGGGAGAACAGCGGTTAAGCATATCATGATGCATATAAAATAATTCAGGTACAGACTCATCACCCACTCCAACCTCTGGTGTGCAGAGTGGGAAAACTAAAACTACATCTCCCAGACTCCTTTTTATATTAGGGTTCTGGTTGCACTTTGCCTCCCCCCACCCCATCAGCTCTATGCACAAGGGCTGGATTCGGAGCTACATTAAGCAGGAACGAAAGGCAAGGGCACAGAGCCCCCGTGTTGCTGGCTGGTGCGAAACCCGATGGAGGCGACAGGCACCCGAGCCAGGGCTGTGGCGACAGCTTCTTCCTGCAGCAAAAGCAGCAGCCTCTGCACTGACCTGGGTTTCTGGAAGTCCTCCTTGGGGCTCTGGCCACTCACACAGCCGGAAAAATCATGCCTTCTGGAGGCATCCCTCCCCACTCTCCCCACCTTGGACTCATGGTAGATACTGAATCTGGATGAGCACTCTGTCAAAATCCGACACTGGCCACCACTGGGGACGGGGCGTGGGCAGTGATGCCAAGTGCAAAAGGGGGCTGGGAAGGGGACTTGCCTCATAGATGGGGGCCTCTGGTCCTTCAAACTGGAGACCTGGAGGACACAGGAGAAAAGGAAAAAAACACCATTGTAGAGAATGCCAAGGGCTCCCTGATGCTCGCTACTTTCCTACTCACTCCCTTACATCCTTACAGACTCCCTTCCAAGCTCATCATGCACAGTGTTTGCTGACCGCTCCCCGCTCCCTGGGGTCCTGCTGGGTGGTGTCCCATGGTCCTTCTCAAATTCCAGTGGATCTAAAGCCTCCGATGTCCATCCTTAGCCCTGGATGGGTACTGTGAATTAATCCTGCCCCTTCCAGATATCTCTGTTATGGAATGGAAGGCAGCAATGGGTAAGTAATGAAACATCTTTATATGAGGTTACTAGAATAGTCAAACTGGTAGAGACGAGACAAGACATTCTACAGAACGGTGGTTGCCACAGGCAGGAGGGGGGGGAAGGAAGGCAGAGCTAAATGGGTACAGAGTTTCAATTGGGAAAGATAAAAAATTTCTGGAGATGGATGATGGTCACAGTTGCAGGACACTGAGAAGATACTTAACGCCACAAAACTGTGTGCTTAAAAATGATTAATATAGTAAATTTTATGTTATGCATATTTTACAATAAAAAAAGGACTCATCCAAAATGGCGAATTACTTTTCAAATGACTATTCAATTCATTTAAATGACTAAAGCAATTCATCCAAATGTATGTACTTTAGAATCTATCTCTGTGCTCATAATATGACTTAATTCAAGTTCTACTTCAAATAGAGCCTCCCTATGGGGCCTTAGATAACTTACGTCATCTGTAAAATTGGCAAAATAACATTTACCTCCCAGGAATGTGGTGCTGAACTAGAGAAGTGTGTAGAAATCCCTTGTGGAGGGGAGTTTTAACCAACATTAAATATTCTTTTCAATATGCTCCCCCAGGAGATGGGCACATCTTTGCCTGATCTCATGATGCTGGAGGACACCAAAAAGCCAATCATGTGCTAAGATTCCTTGAGGCACACAGATTTCTGTACTCTTCTGTGTTATTCCGGATCCCCGGGGACGTCATAGCACCTAAGGGTGATCCCCAGTGGTGGAAACTTTGAAACTAACCACTAAGTGAAATCATGTCAAGCTTCCCGCATTGTGCGGAGTACACAGCAGGTACTCAATAAATGACTGTTCCCTTTCACTCCCCCATTTTGCTTAAGAAGAGTTAAGAAAGTCGTCTGGCTCCTCTCCACATGGAGAGCTACCTACCTGGGATGGGAACTGTATGCAGGGGCATCACCTCTACCCCATGGACCGGGTATCCAAAGGGGAGGTTGGGCTGAGCCAGCAGCGGTGGTGGATGGGGCAACCCTTCTCTGCAGGAAACAGAACCAGAACTGTCAGCAGCTGCTCTCACGCGCCTCCCTGGTTAGTTCTGAAAGTGGTACCTGTACCCGGAGCTCTGTGCTGTCAATGGGGAGAAATTGAAAGTAGACTGCCCCATTCACCCCTCCATTCCTTCCCTCCTTTATGCACCCTTGAATTCCCTCCAGCCTTGAATTCCACAAGAGTCCAGGCCCTTTACAACAAAGCACACACAAAATTAAAAACACAACCAGCAGGGGAAGAAGAAACAAAGTAAAAGACCATCTGGGCGAACCCAGTTGCAGCAGACGAATGCCAGGGTCACAGGTGAACTTCCTGGTAGTCAGGGTGTAAAGCCATGGGCGGTCAATATTCCGGTCTTATCAACAGTACAAAGCAAACAACTCCAGAGGCAAATAAACCTTTTCCTGGCGCTGAACTCAAAAAGAAAATACATCACAAGAAATGTGATTTGTTGCCTCAGTATTTTCAGAGCAAACACAGTGATGATTTTCATATGGTTTTGTGGTTATAACAACCTCAGTCAAGGACAAGCACATCACGAGCCAGCGAGATTGATTCTTTGGTGGACTAAGGTAATATGGTTGAAATGCAGCCCTTGGGGATCCAGTGTAGCCAAAGGTATCATTTAGATCCCCTGGAAGAATGATTAGACTACTGTAGTGAGTATTTATGGGAATACAAAAGAGATGAAATTTTAAAATGGGAAATGATGTAAATAGGCAATTAACAGAAGGAGTGCAAATGGCTAATGCATAAATGAAACAAGCTCAGCTTCACAATTAACCTGGGAAATGCAACTTTAAAGAATTGGGGACAGCTGGGTGGCTCAGTCGGTTAAGCGTCTGCCTTTGGCTCAGGTCACGATCCCAGAGTCCTGGGATCGAGTTCTGCCTCAGGCTCCTGGCTCAGTGGGGAGCCTGCTTCTCCCACTGCCTGCCACTCCTCCTGCTTGTATGCTCTCTCTCTCTTGCTCTTTGACAATAAATAAATAAATAAAATTTTAAAATAATAAGAAAAATACAAATACAAATAAATTACAAAATAAAAACAATGAACTGGAGGTGCCTGGCTGGCGACTCCTGATTGTAGGTTCAAGCCCTACGATGGGTGTAGAGATTGCTTAAAATAAAATAAAATCTTAAAAAAAAAAAACAAGGAAATACTTTTTTGATTAATGTTTCAAAATGTAATGATAAGGAGTATTGGTTAGGTAGTGGGTATCTAAGATACCTACTCGTCACGAGAATGTGAATTAATGTAGACACTCTTGAATGCTATCTGCCTGTATTTATTAAAAGTAGAAATAAACGCCTCTCATGAATGAGGGATTCAGATCCTAGTTAAGGGGGAAAACACCTGCCTGTGTAAGCAACAACATGCACAAGGAGGTTCATTTCAGTTCATTTTAAATGAACACCTTTATACACATCTGAAGGAAATAAGGAAAGAATGTAAATATAACATAAGATGATTATAAATTATGTAAATGTAATAATGAAAATTTCCCCCAAATTTGAATATCATTCAATAGGAGAATGGCTTAATAAAATTCATTGTATTCATATTCACAGCTGTATAACAATTAAAAGGAAAGAACTAGGGCGCCTGGGTGGCTCAGTGAGTTAAAGCCTCTGCTTTTGGCTCAGGTCATGATCTCAGGGTCCCGGGATTGAGCCCCACATCGGGCTCTCTGCTTGGTGGGGAGTCTGCTTCCCCCCCACCCCCCCATCCCGGCCTGCCTCTCTGCCTACTTGTGATCTCTCTCTATATATCAAATTAATAAATAAAATCTTTTTTAAAAAATTTATTTATTCGACAGAAACCACAAGCAGGCAGAGAGGCAGGCCGGGGGTGGGGGGAGCAGGCCCCCCGCTGAGCAGAGAGCCCATCTCCATCCCAGGACCCTGAGATCATGACCCGAGTCAAAGGCAGAGGCCCAGCACACTGAGCCACCCAGGTGCCCCTAAATAAATAAAATCTTTAAAAAAAATAAATAAAAGGAAAGAACTAGACATATGAACAGCTCTTAAAAATGTACTTAACCAGGGACTCCTGGGTGGCTCAGTCGGTAAAGCATTCAACTCCTGGTATTGTCTCAGGTAATGATCTCAGCGTCATCAGTTTGAGCCCCGTGTCCGGCTCCAAGCTCTTAGTGGAGCCTGCTTAAGACTCTCTCTCTCCCTCCCCTTCTGCCCCTTCTCTTTCTGCCTCCTTCCCTTGCTCAAGCACTCTCTAAAACAAACCAAAAAAAAACTTAAAAAAAAAAAACCAAATTGAATGAAAAAAGCAAATTCTAGAGTGATTTGTTCTTACGGTGTCAATTACATTAAAACCATACACACAGATGGGTGAAACAGGAGAAGGGGATGAAGCAGGGAGCTGTGTATAGAGTTGCTGAATCACTGTATTGTACGCCTGAAACTAAAAGAACACTGTGTGTCAACTGCACTGGAATTAACATGAAATTTAACAATACACACAAAACCCCAAGAGTATATGTTTATGTGGCTATAGCTACACTCACATATGTATGTGATTATGTGTGTTTGTCCCTGTGTGTAGCTGTATAAAACAGTGTGGGGTAATCTATACCAAACTCCCAAGGGCAGATTGGGTTGGCAAGGGAGCCTATCATATAAGGTAGGGGAGCAAGGAGAGTTGAGGGGGTCGGTTCAAGTGGACTTTTTTTAAAGGAGCATTATCTGGGGTGCCTGGGTGGCTCAGTAGGTTAAGTGTCTGCCTTTGGCTTGGGTCATGGTCTCAGGGTCCTGGTATCGAGCCCCGCATCAGGCTCCCTGCTCAGCGGGGAGCCTGCTTCTCCCTCCCCCTTTGCCTCACCCCTGACCTGTGTATGCTAGCTTGCTCTCTTTCTCCCAAATATATAAATAAAAGAGCATTATCCGTGCACTACTCTTTTTTTAAAAAAAATATTTTATTAATTTATTTGAGAGAGTGAGCAAGAGAGGGGGGACGATCAGAGGGAGAAGCAGGCTCCCTGCTCAGCGGGGAGCCTGCTTCTCCCTCCCCCTTTGCCTCACCCCTGACCTGTGTATGCTAGCTTGCTCTCTTTCTCCCAAATATATAAATAAAAGAGCATTATCCGTGCACTACTCTTTTTTTAAAAAAAATATTTTATTAATTTATTTGAGAGAGTGAGCAAGAGAGGGGGGACGATCAGAGGGAGAAGCAG